AACGTTGTTGCTGATTAAAAAAACCCAATATGCAAACCCGACAAGCGGACCCGAGTCATGTCAAGAATCAACTCATACTGAGAGCATGTCGACATAAAATAAATACTTGCAATGAGGAATACCACAAGCCGAGCCGCCTCGCAGCAAGCATAGCCTCTAACCGAGCAGGCTTGGAACGAACATCGCTTCCAGCCGAGCAACCTCATCGCCACGAGCATAGCCTCTAGCTGAGCAGCCTTGCAACGAGCATTGCCTCTAGCCGAGCAGTCTCGTAACGTGTGATACCTCTAGCTGAGTATTGCTTTATGTTGAACATTGCCTTGTGTTGAGTACTGGTTCAGGACATCTAGTCACTTCGGCCCGTACATGGATTGGATTTGAAGCCTCCAGCTAAAAGACTCTCTTGACTGAAGACTTGGGGGACTCCTATTGGTACCATATATTGGGTCTCATCTTTGAGCCTCATCCCTAAGCCCATGACAAATGTAAAGGGGAGGGAGCCCTTATTCTATAAAAGGGACTCTTCCTCACCCTTATTAGGGAGGCCTCACATCCATAGAGAAAGAAAAGGTCTCACACTCAATCCTCACAAATACAGAGGGCAATACCCTCTCAGCCAAACAAAAAGCAAAATGGCAAGGGCTACATCCACAGAGAGCTCATTTGCCAATCTATTGTAATCCATACATTCATACAATGAAATGGAATCAACATCAGTGTGGACGTAGCCAAAACATTGGGGTGAACCACGATACATCTTTGTGTTCTTGTGCGTTTGTGTGATTCAAGGCCATATTTACGTTTGTCCAAGATCCTCCGGATTTTATGCATCAACATCATTAGTCATTTTCTTGGAAACCAATTGGATTGAAACTTTGAGAGAAAGATTGGAATGTGGTTGAAAGTATTTGAGAAAATATGAAATTGAGGTGTAAGGTAGAAGATAATGAGAAGGTATTTATAAAAGAGTAAAATCTTTTTTTTTTAATTTTTTAATTTTTTTCGGATTTTTTTATTAATTTTTTAGTAACTTACCTAATTTCTGCCGTTGGATTAAAAATTGAAATCAAACCCTCCAGATTGTGCCATGGGGCACAAAGGTAACATTTCATAATTTTTTAATGTAAATTTTTTTAAAATTTTTAAAGGCGAATAACGTGGACCGTTGATCTCAAATCCAAGACTGATATTACGGAAGGTTTCAAATTTTTTTTTACCGTTGGAAATCCAACGGTCCAGAAAAAGTAACTGTTGAAATTCAACGAACGGGAACGTGCCACGTGGCCACCAACAGTAACTTTTCCACCGTTTGCACCGCGGGCCTAAGGCCTGAAAAGTTGTCGGGGACACGCCCCCACATGCCTAACGCAAAAGTAATTAAATTGTGGTTGACGTCACCCTGACGTCAGCCTGGCATCACCTAGCTCTCAAGCCACTGATTTGAGTGAGGCCTCTCACTCGGGGCCTTCATGGGCTGGAGCAATGAGCTGGAGCCATTGGGTCCTATTCAATCGCTGATCCATCGGGCTACTCCTCCCGGTGGAGTTGCTCTGAAAATTGGGTCTTAAGGCTGAGTGACTTTTTTGTAAATAAAGAGAAAGTTGGTTGAAAGCATACGAGTGGCACTTTTGTAAATAAACTGAAATGTCGTCCAAAACACTGTTCATATGAATAGTGCAATTTCCCCTCCTACTTTGGACAAAACTAATTTATTTCATTCATGATGAGGTTGTGTATAAATTGCTTTAGCATTTGTAACTCAGTTTTTTACTCGAACATTGTTTATGAAGATTGCAATGACATAATCTTTCATATTATTTTCAATCCTGTAGCAACGCGCAGGTACAAATTCTAGTTATATATACTAAAGCCCTACAACAAAAAACACTATTCATAAGCACATTGTAAAGATAGAATTGTCCCCGTTTTATTGTTCAGTTTTCTCTTGCTTTTTCTCACTAACACCATGAAATGACGAAAAATGGCATGGGGCACGTGTTGCTTTTATATGATTGTGCGTTGTCGTTGCCTTCTTAAAGCATCTCCAAAGGAGATATCAAATTTTAAACATCAAAATGATATTTGATGGCTTACGTGGCAATTTGACATTTTGTACAATATTTTGTTCCACCCGATATGTTAAATAATAATGTCATTTAATAAAAAAATTTATCTTTTTGTGGAGTCCAGTGATTAAGGCAACCAATTAAATATTTGAAAAATATAACAACATTTATTATATATTATATTAACTATTAAAAAATTATTTAATAAATTTGACATCTGCTGTCAAATTTGACAGCAAAAGGCTTTGCCTTCAAATGACTCAGCGCCACGTAAGAAATTGAAGGTTGGGTTGGAGAGAGTTTGTTGCCATTTATTAGTGTTGTATTTCTACGTGGCATTTTTGACATTTTTGGAGATGCTCTTGCATGTGCTTTCCTCATCTTTCAACTCTTTTCAACGCTTTCAAACACTTTGAACAACAAAACCACCGCTTGCTTCTCCACCAGTACACCCAGACCACCATAACCACTGCCACCACTTCACCCAAATCGGACGAAGGGCGCCACAACAAACGTGTGAATCTTCCTACACCACTGGTCTCCTCAACGTTTTCCAAAACCCACTTGACTGAAGGTAAGCGAATTTGGTGTTCTGGATTATATTGGAATTGAAATAGGTTTGGTTTCATTAGCTTTTTGGGTTGTTAAATTTTTATGCTCCGATTGTTTTGGAATTTGAGTTTGGATTGTGTTCAGGCGAAGATTTCTCCAGAAAGGGCTCCTCGACTCTCTGCACAGCTCCCCAAGGGATTGGCATTTTAGATGTGTAGTCGGGTTCTTGCCTGCTGATGAGCTGCAAGAAGAGGATAGAGTTAGTTTTGAAATGTGCCTTTGTGGGGCCTTAGGTGTAGGCCTTGAGGCTCGCAATCAAAACCAACCAAGTGCTAGGTGTGCCACTGCTATCTCAAGTATAGTAGATGTAGAACAAGATTGTGTTTAGTCGATTACTTGTGCCCCAAGTTACTCGGACTTCTTGTTATCAAAGAATTGTCGTGGATGGGTTAAAGTCCAATTAAGTTTTTTTTTCTTGCCTTGCGAACAAGGACTTTCAGTTCATAGTCTTGTGCATTCGAATGGAGGGAATCCGATTCCCTTAAGTCATTTACTGGGTTCTTGATTGATTTTAATGATAGCATGTCCACTAAACTAATCTGATTCAGATGCAAATGGAACTCTTATAATGGGAAAATAGATGGAAATGCCTTGAAAACATGTTGGAGAAGACATTAAGCAATAGATCTATTAACTTATAAAACATACAAAGAGCTTTGAGCAAGATTTAACCTTGTCAGGCAAGGTTGAACTTCTTGCAATCACTTCTCTTTCGAGTTTACAGGGTTTATATGCTAAAAAGGGATGGATGGTAAACAAGTTTACACAAGGGAATCGTTACTATGTCATTAAGGATGATAGCAGAGCTTCTAAACTAGACAAAAGATGGCTTTTGTAAGGGATGATCCTGAAAATGATTGAGATCTGGGTTGATTACAACTTTTAGATGCAAATCTGGCTTGAGAGCAGAGTTTGTATGTTTGTTTATTTGATTGGTTGAGTATCATTGTCTCTTGGCCCTTTTCCTCCTTTTATAGGTAGATTAGCCCGACTGCAGTGGCTTTGCTCTTGCTCGAAAGCACTTAAAGGGTAGTGAATCATCAATTTTTTTACTTCTATTGCCACTGAAAAGTGCTCTTGGGCTGATTGTGAGTTAGTCCCTATCACTTGTCATTTAAATCATAGGCACATGGCCTAAGCATTAATGGGAAGACGCCAACTCATCTTTGGGCTTGATGTTGGATTTCAGGCAAGTCATCCTTTTATCGGCATCTCTAGGCTTCTACGCATTTACAACCCAATGTTCAAAGATTAACCCAAACAGATTAGAATTTAATTTTGATTTACAAATTTCTGATAAAACCTCAACAAGAAATTAGGAACTTGTGTTTTTTTATTTTTTTTATTTTTTGTCTTCTTTCTTCTGATTTTTTGGGTTTTCATCTGGGTTATTTTATGAACATGCTCCATTTATTTTACGCTTGGTTTCGTGTACCCTGCAGCAATCAAATAAATAACCTTACAGAACCAGAAGCCACTGAAATGGCGAGTGGCATATATGTTTATTTCTATGTTTTCAAATGTGGGTTTTAGATATTTTTCTTTGTTTTGGTTAATTATGGAATTTTGGCTCCCAATTTCTTAAAACTTCAGAATTTTTTTTGCTATTTAGTGTGAGAATGTGGGTCCAAGATTGGATTCTTCCAATTTCTGGGCAGGGAAACACAGGGTGGTGAACCAGTAGCTGGATATCAACCAAGGACTGATTGCGGGAGGGTTCAAGTTTTCCGACGTGATTGTTAATTGCTGTAATTTAATCATTTTGAGTTGTTATTTTTTATAATTTTGTTTTGTAGGAATTATTGTTAATTATTATGTTGAATTTCAGGCACGAAGTAAGTAAAAGATTCGATATTTTCACTCTAGAGACTGGATGGGATTTCTGTAGCCATTATAGGGTTCATAAACAAGCATAACACTATCTAAAACGAGATTCCTTCTGAGGTAGTACTCCATGTTTGCTAATATTGCTCTTCTTTACTGATTTCGGTTGACATTGTGAATGTAATTTACTTTTGAATGCTTTTCGGTACAAATTTAGTTTTGAATTTTGGGTTTGCCTGTATATGAATATATGCACTTGAGAGTTTTGAGGAATCACATATCTTGCAGCGGAACGCGGGCGTTTTTGCTAGCGAATACGAAAGGCTTTTATTTCTTGAACTTTGCCCCTTGCTTGCCAAAGTCGAGTCATGTCACTCCATTTTTGTCTATTCTGTCTCATGAATTCTCTAATTGATTTGATGCTTAAAGGGCCTCATTTTACCTGGAGAAACAATTACAATTGGGATGATGAGGGCTTCTCAATCAAATACGGTTAGATCATGCCACGTCTGGCCAGAAACGACGATGAATTAGTTAGGGGTGTCTAGGCACAATTTCGAACATATAGAGTCGTCTGGAGTGATCACTTTTACAAGGTACATTTGAAAACACAAGATCTCAGAACTAAATCTATCGTCTCTATGTGTACATAGACATTAGACAATAATAATCTACGTGTAACCGTAACATAGAGAAAGCACACTAAGCAGTGCAATCCGAGACTCAAGATACCTTTCTACTGTTGGTTGAGAGGTCCTTCCGAAGCCAGAAGTTTACAAGAAACGAGTCCATGATAATCTTGCATCAAGAAAATTTTCTGTCAGTTGAAGGAAAGAAAAAAAATAACAAAACAAGATGCATACGACTGGAAAGGCTGTAAGGACAACCTGATTTAAGTGTGCTGCAACACAAGGAAGAACAAGTAAACCGGATTCTCCCAGTGCACCACCAAGTTGCTCAACAACAGCCACCATTACGGGCAGGGTTTTCTGCCATAAGTATGCCAGCCTCATCAATAACATTAAAGAAAAGACGTATGTATTTCTTCCTAGTTCGTTGCTTCTTACAAAGACAAAAGTTGATAACTATCCTAAATAAAACGTCGTTTTGGCCCACAAGAGATCCCAGATCAAGTCACATCTTCACCAAGGATGGGGAGTTCAACAGTTGGAGGGCAAACATAATTCATAGTGGTCAGAGAAAGTAAAAAAAGTTTAGAAGGAAAAAGAAATGCGCAAGGGCTTGAGAGGATAGATGTACACATGTCTCTCACCTGGCTTGCAACAAGGAGAACTGCAGTGGCATTTTCTTTCTTGGAAAACACTGATCGACTGCCACCAGAGAGAGCTGAAACGCCCTTTACCGCAAGTGCATTAAAGACGAAAAAGCTGATGTGCAGAAGTCTGCAAGTAAATGCATTTTTTCAGCATATGTCAATGCATTCAGCCCATCAATTTATTAAGACGCCTATCTAGAGAATGCGAAATCCAAATTCATCACATATTTTGCTTTTCTCACCCATAATAGTCTGGCTCTTTAGAACATCTTCAGACGATTTATGTCCAACAAATCTACTCAGTTCAAACACACCGTGGGATTTAAAGATATTGCATACAAAGGCAATCAGAAGATCATAGAGTAACATTTTTTTGGATTCATTATTGTTTAGAAGAGACAAACCTTTTATTTATGCTAACAAAAATTACACATCATTGGACAATGAGGTACGCTTTAAGAACATACAAAATTACACATCGTTCGACAAGGAGTACATTCTAAGAACATATAAAAATTGCACATCATTTTTTTTTTATCAATTCTACAATCTGTCTATGATATCAATTCCACAACTTGGATGCATGGTAAATATAAAGTCCAAGAATTGGATGCATGGTAATTGTTAATTCCAAAAGCAACTTAATAAAAACAAACTAAAGGAGCACAAATTGGCACTTCTACTATTATATTAAAGCATTAATCTAGTGATAACACAACAATACAACGATATAGGGTGAATTTCATACATTCCCATTCCAATAGCCACAAGAAAAACTGGAGGTTTAACCATCAACAGCAGTGACCTGGACCTGCTAACTTGTATCCATGGCACCTGAATAACCAACATGCTGTCACAAGTTTACAACAGTTGTACTTTAAAAATGAAAAGGAGACAAATGTGTCCTACAAGAACCAATGACGATCAGACAAATTTCCCAAAAATTTTAAAGAAAAGCTTCAGCAATGATCCTTACTCTAGAGGGTTTAAACTAAAAGAAGCAAAGATGTCTTACAAGTACCATTGAAGACCAGACACATACCCAAAATTTTGAATTAAAGCTTCAGCAAGGATCTGTACTGATGCAGTGCATAAGGGGATTTTTCATGAAGGCTTTTGGTATTTTGGTGTTTGGCAATTCCATCTATAATTATTTGAGAAAATAAAAAATATATATAAACCAGGGCATTGTCCTTACTAGACTGAGGAAGATTGCACTGAGCTTAGAAAAAAGCTTCCGGTTTTGATCAACAAAGTCTGCAACACCTGCAATACACATTTAATGAGAACTAACAAAAGATACAATGCTTACACTTAGAGATGACGAAAAGAGTGAGCACGTGTGAATCTCAGAAATCATCCTGCTTGTTTAAATAAGAGGTTAACCATCCTGCTTGTTATATCCAAATGCAGGCTAGATTCGTGGCTATTTCATTTAGAAGGATCCCTAGTATCAGCTGAGTGTGTCTGGTATGTCATAGACTCTGAGGCTAAGGTTTGAAGGTGAGAGATAGCCCTTAGAAATTTCCGATCCATGTAGATGGATATCTCTAAATTCAATGCTGAAAATTCCAGTCCTCTTCGCCGATGGGAGCAGGCCTTTGGCTTGCCAATGTAAAATGTTAAGATTCTTACTGATTCTTAGCCTCTTTTTAAGAGTAGAATGTTTGGAAGACTTTTTATACATTCAAGTGAAGATTTGAAAATTTTAAGACTTATGTAGTTAGTCACTACGTAGGACAGTAAGTTTTGAGTAGTTTTAATTCGTAAACGACTTTTGTAGACTCTTAAGTTCCAGAAATTAAAGTTATTAAAATTATTGTCCATCTAAAAACTCAGAGACTAAGTGTGGAATCTCCATTCTAGTATGGTATGTTAAGCATATAATTAATAATAGGGTGCTGGGTCACAGTTTGGATACTTTTTTTTTATATGAATACAGTGTACTCAGTGTATATATTCGTGTATGTATGCATGTACATAATGTATGTGTTTCATTATGTATGTCTGTATATATATATAAGCAAGTTAATTAGAATGAGACTGATCCATTCATCCATATTGTGCCTCAATTTTAGTACTCATAAACTAGCTACTTCAGTGATAAATGCCATTTACCTCCCAAGCTTCATATTAACTTACTAAAAAAGATTCCATACAGTACGGAAAAAAAAACTAAAACAGAGAAGCCAATATGGAATACTCACCTCTGAAGGATTCTCGACAAATCTGTTAAGGAAAGGAACAAGAAGTAAGTATGAAAGCAATAAAAAACCAGAGGATGGAATAGACGTTTTGACATCAAAATCAAAAAGACCATAGTCATGATTAAAAACTATCGGAAATGTATTAAAATTACTTTCACACACTGCCATAAGAAAAATGAATATAACACAAATGTATGCTTATTGAAGGTATGTTTACCAATTAAAAGGTCAGTTTTGTTCGAAACACTGATATGAAAGGCATTTCCTTGACAGTATAAGAAGAAAAAAAATAGATTACCTTCCCCAAGATTAGAGGGATCAACAATGTGAGAACGAGACTTTTAAACAGCTGCTTAGTCGGAATAGATACACCAACTCCATCGGCTATGAACTTTGATATAGAAAATGGAACCTAGAAGAATACAATATTAGCATATGCTTAACGAGATCAAGTAGAGCACTAAATTATTGCTGCAAGACATACAGAGAAAAATTCTGTTCACAATCTGGTACCAAATTTATATGTAAATGAAAAGATAAAAGTGAGAGTACAGGGGACTCTCAAACTCACAATTAAAATTCCTAACAGGTTAGAAATCACAGTCATTGCAAGAGCAAGGGCAGAATTGGCTCCGGCAAGCTGCATTCAAAGAACACAAACCTTTAGCTAAGCCCCAAACCTAGTACATGATGCAAAAAGCTTAGCAAAACAATGCAAAATGTTCAAATAAGATCAAAGACAAAGGAATTAGCATACCTGAGTAAGCGCCACTCCACTTGATAATGTGGTTGGCATACAGCAAAATAGTGCAAGCCCTGCAACAGTAGAGAAACTACTATATGGTTTATAAATTAAGCTTCAGAGATAAAAGAGGAATGAATCACCATTATGTAAATCCCAAGCTAACTCACGCAACAAAACAAGCATTTTCGAATCAAGCAACCAGAAACAGGGTCACATAATATTTTGAGTTTAAGCTTAGTAGGAATAAGTAACCCTAAACCCTAAAATCAATCACCTAAAGGTTTCGTTATCTTAGGTCGAGTTGAAGCCATGAGCAAAACATAATCATCAAAAATATGTTCTAGAAAGGAGGTATTTTTCTAAATCATACCAAAGAAGAGAAACCTTTCCATCTTTCCACTCTTCTGTCGAAATATGGAGCCTGAGTAAAACTCATAATGCAATTCTGTCTTGTTTGCTAGGAAAAATTTTGAGGGACAGTTCTGTAGCTTGAACCAAAGCAAGCCCTTGAAATTTTGGTGGGTTTCGCTAGGTTTTCCCTACAGAATCTCAAATATCTGTTCAAATATTGGGCTAACTTAAATGAATTGGTTTATCTAATTTAACACTACTGATTGGGCTACCTTAGTTGATTGGAGTGCCAATTTTAAGGAACTTTTCATTGGCTTTTTTTGTTTTGTTTTATTTATTATTGTGGAGGTATACAGTGTCATGTCTATTTTACTTTTATTTTTTAAAAAGAAAGCAAATTCCATTATGAAATTTGATACATAAAAGGCACAAAACTTATTAGCAATTTGATTCAGCATTTCTTAAGCATTTTAAGCAACAATACTTAGATAACATCTGCCCTCTTAAAGGATACTATAACTGATCTGAGACACAAATTCAATTGGCATACCTCTAACAAACTCTTGAGGTTGAAGCTGCAGTTGCAATATTACCCTCGAAAAATATGGAGTAAATAATAGAATGGAGACCTGAACCATGGAAACTATTACCAATAAGATAACAGATTGGCTAATTGAAGTGATATTCATAATTCTAAGTTTACAAATGATCAAGGATTAATAATATGATAAATATTGGTCAGGTCAGCATAAATGCATCAATGCATCAATAAAAGGTAAATGCACGTGGTATCCAAAAGTCACAGTTTAAGAATGATCACATATCAGCTAGCAAAAGAAAAAGAAAAACTAAATCCCACAACTTAAAGAAACAAAAGAAAATAAATGAGCTCTCTTTTATGAGATCTCGCCCCAACAACTTTTCACCAGTCTACATTGATATGCGTGCATATAAGACTACGTAACTTGTTGTAAGAGTAAGAATCAACTGATATCAGTGAAAACCTGAAGTATGCTATCCACATGACATATGCGTACTACGTGCTTACATAAATGAAATAGCATGGTATGATTTTAGACCACAACATGCAAGAATGTTTTAATAACGCTGTCATGCGTTCCTCTATTGCTTCCCAAGATCTAGAGGAACAAAACCATGTTTGTACTACATATTCTATTGAATCATACTTGATCAAGAAAGAAGTTTCCAAAGTAACATATAACTACATAAAAAACAGACTTCTATAGACACATTACCATGAAATGGGTGCTGTATAAGAAATGTACTACATCAATCTTTCATAATCTGAATCTAATCAATTTAGGGTTAACATACTAGCCCAAATATTCCGACAGGCCATGCTTCTGCAGCTGCAACAATTTCTCCAGTGTGCAAGGTCAACCCTACGCAATCACATTAAACAAATTAGTCCATAATTAGCGGCATAAACTAAACAAGCATCAAACACACTGTAACAAGAGAAAGGCAGAATTGTAAACCTGAGATGATAAAAATCCCAAATGTGCTGAATTTTGACAAAGAATACGTATCAGCGAGACAACCTAAACTAGGATTTGCAATCCCTAAAGCTACTCCACCAACAAGAGCTGCACATAGTATTACACAACAAACACATATCAGTAGATAATACATAACAACACATGAAATGTGGCTGTAAAAGAGAAGCAAAAAATCTTCAACCAAACAGAGTTAGAAAACACCTAAGGGAAGAAAATTATTCGCCAGAAAATTCGACAAGGGTTTAGCCCAATTCAAGCTCTTCACCGAACCCGAATGCCGGTGAGGTTTGTTTCCATTACCATCTTTCTGAAACAGCATTCATAATTCTTTAAATTGATTGAGAGTTAGGCAACATTTCAGTTCAGGCACCAAATTATCAAGTCCATTTACACAACGAAACATCAAGACGAGGCAAAAATTAGAGTTCTTAGTTTTGGGTTACCGAACAGAGCTCAATGAAGTAAAGAGAACCTGATCGGGGTGTTGGCAGGCTTTGACGGGGTTCGAAATGCTGCGGCTAAGTCGATGATTGAAGCGGAACGCGGCATGTATGGACGGAAAATGTGGGAGCCGGTGAGCAAACGGCAGCGTTTGGGCGGGTGGGGGTGTGAGAATTAGGGCTTGGATGGTTCCCGCCATGGAAATAACCGCACAAGTCAAAACGGGTATGCTTTTGTTCTTTTTGGTATCAGAATGAAAAACACGGGTGACGCACGGAGGAATTTAGTGCCCCCGTTGAGGTAGGAGGATTCTGTCTTATTTCCATCTCTACTAAAATGGTTACGATTAAACTACGTTAATATTCTATATTAATTTGTTTATAAAAATAAAAAGAATAAAAAACAAAGTGTGAGAGAAGAAAAAAAAGAAATGAGAATAAGAAAGAGAGAATCTTACTCTTCCGTTTATGAAGGGAGGAGCTTGAGAGCTCGGGGATGTTTTGGTTTGATTCGCGCCCCTTTTGTTTGCCAAAATTGAAAATTAAACTGAAATTATTTAGTTTTGATTTGGTTCGGTTTTTTTATTTTTCAGTTTAATTCAGCTTTTTTATTAGTAAGATTTGAATAAAATATTTAAATAAAAAAACTGAAATTTGGTTTTTTGGAAAGAAAATGAAAGAAATGCTAGCTCTACGCATAATTGCTACATCTAAGAAATTAAGCTTCTTAACAATTGATGACAAGCTCCTTCTCAACGTACGACGTTAGTCTCTCGATCACCAACTTAAAGCAAGGTTAGTCTCTCGACGCATGCGACGTGAATGATACTCAACAACAGAGCCAAAGCTCAATAAGCACAGGATCAATGGTCAAATGCACCGAATGGTAACATGTATTAAAATTTTAGATGACTTAGGCTGATTTAGTATTACTGTGCTTTGAAAAAAAAACTACTTATGAGAATAAATTCATTTTTACTACTTTACATTTTCAACTTTTTTTACCTAAAATTATAAAAATAAGCTATTTTTAAATGTTTATCAAACATCTATTTAAACTTAATCCTTTTTTATATCCATTTTTTATAAAAAAAAAAAAAAAAAAAAAAAAAAAAGACCTCAATACCAGTACTGTCATAACCGTTTTAAGCAAAAGAGGAAACGACATAGATTGGGAAGGCACGCACTCTGGCACTGAGAGGGAATCCACAATCCCAGAAGAAAATTGAGAAATGGCAGCGATAACTCGACTGCAGCAAATGCAATTCCTCCACTCTCCTCTCACCCTCAAGCCTTCCGTACTCTTCCCCAACCCCAACCAACTCCGCCGCTCATGCCCCCGCACTTTCTCCACCGCTCCTATCCTCTGCTCCTCCAACTCCCCTCATCTCCCCCAGGTCTCCTCTCTCACTCTCTCTCTTCACAATTGATACCTAATGATATGCAACTGTATGTATTTGATTTTGTCTTGTGTGGTGTGGGCAGAGCTCGGTTTCTGCAGCGGGAGCGAATGCGTCAATCGTTGGGGATCTGCTCGACTACCTCAACGAGTCTTGGACTCACTTTCATGCTACCGGTACTAACTACTCTCTCATTTTATGTTATTTTATGTATTTTATGACAAATTTATTCGTAAGAATCTGTTTGGTTACTGAGAAAATTAAGGGAAGGAAGGGAATGGAAAAGAACAGTATAAACTCCGTGGCATTTTCATGTGCATCTGCTAGGATATGGATAATAAGAAAAACTGGTCCTTAGATATGTTTTCGAGATTCCAAGTTTAGTTGAACATATTTACTTTTGAATTCAAACAATCGAAATGTGCTCAAAAGCAAATCAAGTTCATCAATTTTGAGGCTTAAATAGATTATTGAAACTTGAAAGTGCCGCTCCATTAGATTAAATTAGTTTTTTAGCTCAATCCTAATCCGTATCCCAACCCACCATCGCCACTTGGGCTAACCCTAAGGGTTTATATATGACTTAACTGTTAAGTATTAGGTATTAGCTTTGATCGAATTACGAGGCCGACGATTGCTTATATTTTGAAGAAAGAGGAACTGAATTTGTTAGGTGTATGGTCTTAGTTTTGTTCTGATTTAGGATTTGGTCTTCTATGCAGCTGAAGCGAAAAAACAGCTAATTGCTACTGGCTTTCAATTGCTGAGTGAGAATGATGAGTGGGACCTGAAGCCTGGTGGACGCTACTTCTTTACACGGAATATGTCTTGTTTGGTTGCATTTGCCGTTGGAGAGAAGTGAGTGAAACAGCACTACAAGTTGAAAAATAGGATAATGGATTAAGAATCATCAGCACCTATACATTGCTCCTAACATCGTTGAGTATGTGACTAGTTACATTTCGGTGACGCAGGTTTATAAATTGTGTAACCGTTGTTGTTAACTTCTGGATTTTTGTGTGCCCATCATTTTCTTTTGACATTGATTGTCCATCACTTCTCTCATTGAATTGTTTTTATAATAATAATATAATCTCTGCCCAATGCCTGTAATTTCGTTTATTGCTTCGAATACAGCTCAAGTCACTCCTTTCTTTTCATTTTTCGTTGCTACGTTTAGTTTTGTAGTTCTACATGATTGGCACTTGATTAATCAAAAGTTACTCTTAGTTTTTCAGGTATAGTGTTGGTAATGGTTTCCATGTGATTGCTGCACACACAGACAGTCCGTGTCTAAAAGTAAAGCCAAGATCTGCATCATCCAAGTCTGGTTATCAAATGATCAATGTGCAGACATATGGAGGTGGTCTCTGGCATACTTGGTTTGATAGAGACCTAAGTGTGGCAGGCAGGGTGATATTGAGAGGCAGCACAGGCTCCTTTTTGCATAAGCTTGTCAAAGTGAAGCCACCTCTGTTACGAATACCGACACTGGCCATTCACCTTGACAGGTTAGAAAATGCTTCTGTAATGCGTAGTTCTTTTCAGTTTGGTTTTTTTATTTTTTGGATTGTGCTTATGGAGACCTCTTTTTATGTCGTTCACGTCGGCCCCAAAAATCTTAGGATTGGGGTTGTATTTAACACAATACGTTGAAATTAAGCAAAGCTTATTTATTGATATCCCCGATAAGTTACAAATATGTACATATACATGAGTCAAAATAAACAAACAAGAGGGAGCCTTCACAAAGGTTGCTTAGGAGAAGTCTCAACAGTCGGTAGAGCCCCAGAAAGAGAAGGCACTGGAGGAGGATCATTCGGAGCCTCAGTACTGGACAGAACCTTAGAAGGAGAAGGCATCAGAGGTTGATCATTTGGAGCTTCATTACGCGGTACAGCCCCAGAAGACGAAGGCAATAAATGTCTTTGGAACAAACTCACAAATCTCTGATGATCAAGTAAAACCTGACCATCAAATTCCTTCATCTGGTCAAGCTTCCTCTTCATGTTTGTAGCATAGTCATGTGCGAGCCAGTGCAACTGTTTATTCTCATGCTTGAGCCCTCTAATCTCCTGTTTGAGACTCATCACTTCAGCCACCAATGATTCAACTTGGCGGGTTCGAGCAAATAGGCGTTTGGCCATATTAGACACAGAACCTGCACACTGAACACTGAGAGCCGGAGAATCCTTAACAGCCAACTCATCAGACCGTTTGGAAAGTAGTCTGTTATCTTTGGGAGTGAGAAGGTTCCTAGCCACCACCGCAGCGGTCATATCATTCTTCATCACGGAATCCCCAACGGTAAGAGGACCAGTAGGGGAGACGAAGGATGGGCGCCATATGTTGTCTGGAGAAGGCGTGGCTGCCTCTTCAACAAGGTTCAAGTCAAAACGACGGTCGGAGGGGCCATACATTTTCAAGGGTGTTGAAGAGAGAAGAGGTCGGACAAATCAAGATCTTAGAAGTGCAAGAATGGAGCTTCTACTGGTGGAGATTCAAGTGTGCTTTGGAACTTAATGCCAGCCTCTATAAAAATCTGCACTCGACGGAGCTTCAGAAATCGAAGAGGCGCCTGCTCAGAAATCGAAGAGGCGTTTGCTTTCTCAAAAGTTGGGCTGCTCAGAGACCACGAGGGTCGATCTCAGAAATCGAAGAGGCGTTTGCTTTCTCAAAAGCTGGGCTGCTCAAAGACCACGAAGGCCGATCTAAAAAATCGAGGAGGCGCTTGCTTTCTCAAAAGCTGGGCTGCTCAGAGACCACGAGGGCCGATCTCAGAAATCGAAGAGGCACCTACTTTTCCAGCCTTGTCAGCACCTGTCACACGCACACTCAGCTTTGCGGAAATTATGGGCATTCTGTCGAAGATTTCTGGTGAAGTAGAAAGTACATGAATCTTACTGTTCAATCACCCACTTCCCACACGCAACATTAGCTCATGGGTACCACAGATAACTTTGCCAAAGTTCTCTGACAAAGTTGAGACACGTGAAGTTTGCAGTTCCCACTACATCGCTCTGACCAAGAAGGGTAAAAGAATAGCAAAGAAACAGCACTAACAAAGTTTAGACACATAAATTTTGAAGGTCTAGCTACTATATTATTACCCACAAGGGTAAAGGAACAGTACCACTGCTGGATAATTGGAAAGTCCCTGTGTGTCAACCTCTGTGCTTCGTGGCAAGGTAGACTAGCAAACATGCCCAACCTTTACTCACATTCGAGAAAACACTCCCAACAAGATTGCTTGCTCCAAAATCGAAGAGGCAACGCCCTCCGAATCTCGAGAGCCAGACTCCCAACATGATTACTTTCTCAAAAATCGAAGAGACACCGCTCTCCGAACCTCGAGAGCCAGACCCCCAGCAGGATTGCTTTCTCAAAAATCGAAGAGGCATCGTTCTCCGAATCTGAAGAGCCAGATCCCCGACAGGATTGCTTGTTCGAAAACCGAAGAGGCACCACTTTCCCAACTTCAAGAGTCGGATCTCCTTGGATAAAGCTTGTCTGTAATCTTCACACGCAACATCAGCTTTCCAGATACCACAGACCACTTTTTCAAAGTGCTCTGACAGAGTTAAAACATGTGAAGCTAGCAGCTCCCATTACCGTGCTATGACCAAGCAGGGTAAAGGAATAGCATTACTACTTGTTGTTAGGGAGACTCCTATATATGTCGACCTCCATCCCCAACGGACAGGCAGACCTGCAAAAATGCTCAACCCTTCCTCATATCTAAGAGGGCACTCCCAACGAAGCCTTTCGAAATATTCAGCTTTCTTTCCCCCCGATAATACCTCTGCAAACAAGTTATACTAGAGCAAGAATATCTCATATCATCAGGGTTAAAAGCAAGAGTATCCCATATCATGC